TTCTCCAACACGGAGAACAGATTAAACTCTCAGTAATAGATCTCGGTTTTCTTGCCATCCCACTGCTATTCACAGTACACAGTTTGACACAAAGAGTAAGTTATACATCACAAACAACAGCCTCTGCTCTTTACTGCCCAGAATTAATTTTCCATTTGCCTTCCATGTTCTCCAAGCCGTTTTCCTGTGGAGGGGGGCTCTCTCCCCTCTACAGAAGGCAGGGGAGGAAAACCTCAGGTCAGGACTTGACAAGGCAGCCCCGGACAGCCAGGTTAGCCCCACCATGATGAGGAGGCTGTGGCCAGAGAGGAAAGGTGACTTTCTAATGTCACTCCGTGGGTCTGTGGCGGAGGCGGGGCTGACACCCAGGACTTCTGAAGGATGCAGCAGGCACACAGGCCTCTCAGAGCCTGCGGAGTCCAGGTGGGGGTGGGTGGAAGAGCGGGGCGATTGGCAGGCTGCCTGAGTAGCTGGCTAGTCTCTGTTTGTCTCCCAAACCCCCAACTTGCCATGCAAAACTCTGTCTGCTCTGCTCTGATCTGTACCCCAGGAAGGGACCTCTGGGGGCCGCTGATGCCTGTGGCTGCTGCCTGGGCATGGCCAATGGAAGGACCAGAATGAGATGGAGGATGGGAGCAGAGAGAGGTTGGGCTACTTCCCTCTGCTTCTCCTTGCCATGATGCTGTGGCCCTGGGGGTGGCTACCTCCCTCTACGGCTGCTGCTCTGTGGGACAGTGCCTCTTCCATGGCTCCTTTGGGGCCCTGACAACTCACCTGTCCTGACCTCTTTAGGTTTGGGGTGCTGACAGCCATCTGCCATTACTCCTCCTCAGGAGCCTCACCAGCCTTTTGGGTTACCTTAACTCTCCCTGCCTCTATCTACAGTCCCTCTACTTGTCGCTTCAGTTGAACCATCTGGGGAGAATTCCGTTTCCTGCAGGGACCCTGAGTGGCGTCTGGGGAACCTATTCTTTGTCGAGGACCCCTGATTGCCCGTCCTCTGTCTGTCGGTGCACCTGCTGTGGCAGGCACCCGACTTCCCACAGCAGCCCAGCAAGTCAGGGCCAGCTGGGCGCGTTCTGCCATTAACCCTGTTCTGTAAGGGCCCCTTCTCCTCCTCCGTCCAACTGGGCAATACCTGTGGGTGGGGAGGTCAGGGCGGCCCAGTGAGGGAATGTCCGTTTAGACCCATTTAAGAGATGTTGGAAATGGAGGCTTAGAGAGGTAAAGTCCTTTCCCCAGAGTCACAGAACCTCAGGCAGCAGAGCAGCTTTGAACTTGGGTGGCTCTAATGCTGAGCACCTTCCTCTGTGCTGTGTGAGGGCTCACCTTTCTGAACTCACACCAGTACGTCAGCATGGGTGGGGAGGTGGGCCGGGAGCGATGAGGACGGGAGGTTGCAGATGGGGTGGAAAAATCAAGGAGGGCCTTCTGGGGGCGGTAAATGAGCACAGAAGACAAATTAGAGTCTGAATGGAAGCATGTAGCCTTGAGCTTGCCAACCACCCTCAGCAGACCTGTTGCTCCAGAATCAGCAGGTTGGGTGGGAGTCGGGGAAATGCTTCAAACATACAGTCCCAGGCTCCCCTATGGCTTACTGACTCATACTCTCTGAATCTGCTTTTTGTTTTGTTTTGAGCCAATACTAATATGCAGCCATTTTGGGAACCACAGCACCTCCCCAGCCCCATATCACACTAAGAAGTAAAGAAAGGACCTACAGACAGGCTCCATGTCCCACAGCAACCACCTCCAGAGTCAGGGCTAGAACTCAGGCCTCCTGGCTCCCAACAGTGCTCATTCAGGGGGCAGGGAAGAAAGGGAGCCCCCAGCCCATGGCCTCGCAGCTCTCCCTCCCTCCCCACTTGCAGCTAGTCCTCAGGATGGCAAGCAGGGGTGGATGAAGGTGGTGGCAAAGTGAGAACATGCCTGGAATAACATGACATTTAGAAATATGAATCAGCTGGCACTTTCTGTTTTCTCCCTCTGTCCCACACCCTCCCCCCTTCTCCACCAGGCTGTCTCTCTGAGCTGGAGGAGCACCAGGCCTGGGCATCCAGTCAGGGAGTGAAACCAGCAGGAGTCCACCCACTTGGAAGAGTGGATGGAGGCTGAGATGATTGCAGAGACCTGGGCCCCAGGCCTAGCACTGCCCTCTTGCTGTGCCACTTTGGGTAGGGTGCTGCACCTCTCTGGGCCCCAACACTGAGACATTCAACACCGGTCCTGTTGATGCCTGTGGGCTGCCATGTGAGGAATGAGCCTATAAGACTCTATCCTGAACTCTGCCCTCTCGTCATGGAATTCCACTGCTAGTGTCCGTTCCTTTGTTCCTGGAATGACAGAATCCAGGATGGTGCAGGTGTGAGGGTGGGAGAGGAGGCTAGAGGTGGGAGGGATCCAGGCAGAGGCAGAGAGTGGACAAGTGCAATTTCAGCAGCTCAGACAAGTGTCTGGGGTCCCAGCCTCATTTTTCACACACTCAGCCTCAGGAGCTAATAATGCAGAACAGAGGCCGGCCCCCAGCCCCATCAACTCCTGGCCCCATATCAATATGCAGGTGGGGGAGGAAGTGAGGAAGGGCTCCCTGGGCCTCTGGTGGCTTGTGTGCTCCTGTGGCATTCCTCACCTTTGGCTGGGCAGCCCCTCAGGCAAGGGTGCCTGGGCTCCTCTTTCCTCACCCTCCTCCACCCCCTGTACCAGCCGGGGAGCGAGTCAGCTGTGTTTGTTTGTGTCCCCCACCCACAGACCAGCTGACTCACCACATATCCTCGCAGTCTGACACAGTGCTGGGTGTATAGCAGCTGCCCCAGGGACATCCACTGGATGGAATCCATGTGCCAGTCAGGGACTCTCAGCCCTGGAAGGGTGGGTGACCTTCTAAAGGTGAGGAGCTCTCTGCTCTTACTCGCCGCCCCCCGCCCCCCCCCCCGGCCCCTTTGCTTCAGTGGAGCTGTGCCTGCCTTGTTTACATTGTGTGAACATTGACCCAGATGGTGCTGCCACATAGTAGGTGCTCAGTTAATGTCTATAGTGGGGCAGGGAGTAGGGGAAGGGAGGAAGAGGTGGGGGAGGTAGGTCAGGTCAGGCTGGGATGTGCAACTCCATTAGGTGCTTCTGGCCCCTGGACTATTCCTCTTGACCCAGGTGGCTCCAACCCTTCTCTACTTTCCTTCTGAGGCCTTTCCTCTCCTTCTGGTGGAGATAATCCTGGAAGACAGGGTGATGAAGGGAACTGGAGAAAGCTCCCTGCAAAACAGCTCCATTCCAGACTAGGGAAATTCTGCCACAATTCTTCATACTGCCTCCTCCGAGGAGCCCTCTGGATAGCAGGAGCCTATCAAAGCTGAGCACCCCAAGCTCTGAACCTCGGTAAACCACCCCATCCTGTAGCCCCACTGAGGGTGTGTGATTGTCAATCCCTGTCTGTCTAGGAAAGACGAGGTTTCCCTGGCCACGGAGTGGAGGTGGTGTGTGGGTGCGCTGTTGAGGGTAATGTCTTGAAAGTGGGAAACCCAAGGGTGGGAGATTTTCCATGCCCAGGTCCCCAGAACCAATGTGTAGCTCCTCACCCAGCTTTGTCACCTGCCACCACCTCCTAACCATTGGTCAGAAATAGATCTCTGTTCACCCTGTGCATGACCAGGCGTGTGGTCAGAGCACCCTACCCTGGCTGGGGCTGGTCTCCACCAGCATCCTGGCCAGCCCTGCCCCAGCCCAGACAGGAAGTGCTCCGGTGCCTCTGTAGGTGAAGGGCTGCCCTGCCACCAGCTAGCTGGGAGAATTTCATTTATGGCTTGTGAGTTTTTTTCAAGGCAGATTTCTTCCTCCTTGCTCTCTGTCCCTCTTCTTGTTTCTGTCAGAGGCCCTCGGGGGAGAGGATATGGCCCAGAAATGTTTCCTTTCCCACCCCGGACATGAACACTATTCCCTACAGGCTGCCATGTTGGGTGGCAGGAACTGGGGACAGGGTGGGCCCTAGCTTCGGGCACAAATACTGAGGAAGCAGGGTACAAGAGAGGCCACATGACTCACCCAGTGACTTAATATTCCCATTTTACAGAAGAGGAAACAAGCTCACAACACAATTACACAATCCTCTCTGTTGAGATCAGAGATCACAGGTCGGGTTGGGGGGGCGGGGTGGGGGAGGGCAGGCCCAGCTCCCCCAGGAAGCCCATACAGAGGCTTCCTTCTGCAAAGCCTGAATGCGCCTGTTAGGAGGGATAGAAAGAAGAGAAGGGTAAGCAGGAAGCAAGGGAACATTGAAACACCCACCCCTAGCTGAGCTCTGTGCCCGTGCTCACAGGGGCCGCCCCGTGAAGGGCTCATTTTTAGATGAGGAAATTAAGGTTCAGAGCGCTCAGGTCCAAGCCCAGTTCTGTCGGACCTTTCTTTTCTCCCTTATTCAACCTCATACTCCATTATCCTAGAATTGTTTCCTGGATGCTGTCTTTTCTCTGCGACTCAGCTCTAAGCCCCTTGGCTATAGGGAGCATGTCCCGTGTGCCCCCGGCAGCTGACCCGAGTGTGGCCCAGTGGACAGTTAGCAGACTCGGGCCTTGTGAGGGCAGGGATAGGGCAGAGGCAGCATGGGCCCTTGAGCAGGAAGGCAGATTTCAGATCCCCCAACTGCTACTTCCTAGCGTGGTAACCTTAGGCTCTTAATTGATCTCTCAGAGTCTCAGTTTTCTCATCTATAAAATGGGTGTGAAAACAACTCCGAGTTTGAGGCTCACTGTGTGAAGTTTGGGTGAGGCAATAAGTTATGGGTGTGAAGCATCCAGCTTGGAACTTGGCACATAGCAGGGTGCACAATGCAAAGCAGGGGGTGCTCTCATCAGCTTGCTCATTTCATGGGGCATCTCCATAGTCCCGTCCTCTCCGCCCCCGCCCCCCCCCCCCAATATGAGCTGGCCCTCTCATCCAGGAGGAAGCCTGCCCTGCCTGGGCCCCATGTGTGTGGGCACCTGGGTCTAGGTCATGGGCCCACAGGAGCCTGTTTGCCTCTGTGTCACTAGCTGTGGGTGGCAGCTGTGAAAACTACACTCTGAGTGTGTCCTGCCTGCCTCCAGACCGCTAATGCTGAGAGAGGAGGCTGGCTTCTTTGGTGCTTCCAGACACCCGGAGGGAGGTGAGGACCTCAGCGAAGGTGCTAGTCTTTTCCTGGCCTGCCCTGAGCGGGGAGGTGCCTGTGAGTGAGCTCCTGGCTTCACAGCCAAGGTGGGTGGTTGCTGAGGGGAGCAGAGCATGATTGTGGAGACTGGCCGCCAGCCACAGCTCAGTCCCAAAGTGTCAGCTGCCAAGACCCCAATTATGAAGGAGAAGGAAGCTGGGGGAGGGAGACGGGGAGCCACCCAAGTCAATCATCAGAAGGTGAAATGGGAGGGCTATTTGCACAATCTGAGTTTGGAGCTAGTTCCCCCAATCCTTGGTTTTAAGGGCCAAGGCTTTCTTTGGGTGCTCAAGCCAAGCAGACCTCTCACAGGGGAATTGGGCCTGTGTGAGACAGGAGTGCTGGTAGCTGTGGGTTTTCTTCTTGGCACGGAATCATCACCTGGGAAGAGGTGAGGAGGAGGGGTGAAGAGTTCCTACAAAATGGCCCATGCATTGCTGAGACCCCTCTGCTCCCACCCACGGCCCTGGCCTCTCCTGCCACAGTGCTGTGCTGTTGCCTCTATTGCAACTGCTCTGGGCCTTTTCTGTCCCATTGAGTAAGCCAAGGGCGTTCCCCTCTCTGGGTCTCTGGGGGCAGAGGACTCTTTCTTATCATGACCACCCAACTCCTGTAGGCCCCTTTCCCTGGGGCAGCTGTCCCTCTTATGATCTTCTGAGCATGTCTCTCCAGTGGGAATCATCCTTATTAGATCTTTTCTTGCTTTTTTTCCTTGTCTCCCCCACTATAGTGGCAACAACTCTCCCCTGAGACCATGGATGTTGAACCTGTGCTGGGACCCCGGTGCTTAGCACTAAAGGTGCTCAGGAAATATCTTCTCAATGAATGGAAGCCCCTCCCCCCGCCATTTCCTGCCAAGCTGGATAAATGATGACAGGAGCGGAAGGATATGAGGTTCATTTAAGAAATTCTTCTGAAGGTTGTTCATGACAACCAGTGCATTAACTCCTCCCCCCGCCCCCCCGCCCCGGGTAATCCACAGCAGGACCAAGGCTACCCCCACACAGGTGAAGTTTTTGAGACCAGGAGAGGGGAAGCGTCACAGTCAAGATGACACACCTGGCTGGAGGGGCAGCAGCTGGAGTGTGTCCTATAGTTGGAACAGACTTAGGAAATGGAGCACAGGGAGGACACGTTCCACCTGGGCTACAGCCCCAGCTCCCAACTCAGAACCACAACTGAGGGTGCAGGACCCCAGTGACAAAGCCCCTCGTGCTAGTAGATGAGGAGCCGAGGCCTCATCTCTGAACCAGATGTCACACTGTAAATTAGAAATGGTCTTTGGATTCCATCAGTTTCTTCATTTGCCAGGCGGGGTGGGCAGGCCAGACAAGTTAAGCTGGCAGATGTCAGCATGGTGCTAATGGGATCTCAGCTGAGCATCCCAGAAAAGGTCCTGAGGAGATCGGTGGGCATGGCTGCTGGAGCCCCTTTCTGAAGCCCCTTGGGCAGGGGTCAGGACAAGGAGGAGCCAAGAGCAGTGGTCTCTAAACTTTTCAATTTCTGCCTCTCTATCAAGAAAAAAAAAGATGGCACAGTCACCAATATATATGTATATGTATTGGTTTATTCATTGTGCACATTCAAATGTAGTCATATATTATGTATACAATAAAAATGTACAAATATAGATGGTTTAAAATGAGATTTTAAAATGTAAATAACATTCTTGCTATTTTCTTTCCAGGCTCCAATCACCATGTCAAGCCCTGCGGGTTTAGCAGCCCCTTTGGACCCTCTTTGGGGACCACTGACTAAGAACGTGCGCTTTGGAGCCCCACAGACCTGCATTTGAACCCAGGCCTTTCTTGTCATGATCTGTGTGGCTTTAGACCAGTCTCTGGGCCATAGTTTAGTCTTCTAGTCAATGGGATAATAATTCCTACTTTTCTGTGTGGCTTAAATGAGGGGCTCGGTCCAAGGCCTGGCAGGCTGGAAGAGTTCACACATTGTAACTATGGTGATGATTATCATGACTGGGTTTACTCTTTTTTGCTAAAATTAATGAAACTCAACTCCAAGTACCATGGGCCTACAGGCTTATTTTCTGCATTGTCCATTGTCACCAGAGGTGGTGAGTCACAGCCCAGTGTAGGATGGGTCTAAGTCTCCCATCGCTGAACCCGATGGCCCCAGTGTAAATGCAGCGGGTGGACCTGGTACCGGCTAGGGAAGGCTGGCTGGCGTCCCTGCAGGATGGGGCTGAGAGGTGGGTCAGGTTTCAGTTCTCTGTGTTGCTTTTAAAATAATGGAAGTATCAGGTTGGGTTCACCGGCTGGTCATGGTTTTGATCCCTTGCTAACTTCATAAGGCGAGTCCATGAATTATACAGTGCCGGAGCAGACGGTGCGAAGTACGGCTGCATTACAACCAGGCTTAATAAGGACACTCCAGCTATTCTTGGAAGGCATTTGCAAGTCAAAAATATAGCACATGGGGATCTGATGTAGATTTCAAATTCTGAAGATTTCAGCTGGGTCAGCAGTATTTTATGTTAAATCCCATCAACAAATAATAAAGAAATGACTAAGGGGCATCACACTTTGTCTTTTTTTAATTTTAATATTTTGGTGATAACACATATGGTCAAAGGGTCTGCCTCCTCTCCCCAGCGTACCCCCTGCCCTCACCAAGTAATGTGGACACACATCTGCACACCTCCTCATGGACTCATGGCGGGGATGGAACATTTCCTTACTGAGGAATTAGACAGTGTTCCTACTAGTATAGTTCTGTGCTAAATATGAGATGATGAAAGTTCTATTTTTTTTCTTATTCTCACCAACATTTTGTATGTGTACCAGTTGTTAGAACTTCAGCTGGGAAGAAGAAGAGAAAGTAGTATTTTACCATTTATTAAAAAATGGGGACAGACATCTATTAAAAAATTAAATTGCACTGGAGGAGAACAATAGTGAAGGTGCGCAAGCAGGTCTCTGATGTAGGGGGCAGTGTTTCATAAAAATTGCGGATGCTGGGTCCTACAAGCATGGCTCCTACCCCGAAGTTCCTTAGTGGATTCCACACGTGGGTTTGTTTACAAACACAGTTTTAAGGGGAAAGGCAAACAGGTATCCTGTGGCAGGAAATGGGAGGACCAGAGTCAGGAACATCCAAGAGGTCTTGGGAACCTCCTTCTCTGGCTGTTGATGATAACAAAGGCCCCTGGCTTCCCTAACTTGTCTCCTTGGAAACAGAGGAGCCAGTAGCATCTTCATGTACACAAAGGCCAGGTGTATTTGGGGGAACCTCCAAGTGTAAACCCATTGGCAAAGTGTAGGAACAGCCTATAAACTGGAAAATTCTGAGACCAGAAAAAATCCCAGTGCTCAAAAGGTGTGTAGACCAGTACTTTTCAAATTTACACACACACACACACACACACACACACACACACACACACACACACAACCTGGGGATCTTTCTAAAATAAAGACCCTGATTCTGCGAAAGGCCTGAGACATTGCATTTCTCAAAGGGTCCACATGAGGCTGGCTGGCTGCTGCTGCTGGTGGACAGACTACATTTTAGGTAGGGAGGATATTTATTCTTCCAACGAGACATGCATTCAGACTTCTGTGTGTAAGTCCGGGGCTCAGGCAATGTGATGGGGCCATAGAAATGCCAACAGCTGCCTCATGGCTTCATGTCTCCCTCAGTGGGAGATCAGTGCCCTACATGGTGTCCCACTCAGAACGCAGGGCCAGGGCGGAGGACAGAGCACTGGACCACGGGTCAGGAGAAGCACTGGGTTCTCCTTGGACCGCCCGGCTCCACTGCTCAGCTGTGTGATTGGGTAGCCTGCCACCACTCCCTTTTCCTCCTCTGCATGAGCCTGCTGTGGGGTGAGGGGATGTCCCTACAGTGTTCCAGACAATTGAGTAGGGTTGAGCTTCAGGGGCTGGATGATGCCCCAGGCAATAGCAGCTGTGGAAAGACAACTGTATAACTGTGGGTTCCAATCCTGGTTTTGGTACCAGTAGTGTTTCCTTGGGCAACTTGGCTCAACTCTGTCAGCCTCAATGGTGAGGATGTTGACTAGGTGACCAATGGGCATGAGTCCAGGCAATCTCCAAGAAGAGATGTGAGCTCTGTCTTCTTTTTCTTTTCTCCCAGGGTCACAGAGTCGGCTTCCCAAAGATCAGACTGTGACAGCTTCAGCACTGATTCAAGCCAGGCCTCCTGTCCATGTCTCCCAACCAAAGCCTTCCTGTGTGAGGGCCCGCAGGTAGGCATTAAAGCCCACATTCCCATGAATGAGTTGGTCCTTAGCTGGCTTATCTTAAGAGGGAAGCTGTTCTATGGAGGAGTGTAACATCTCATTTGGGCAGCTCTGTGACATAAAGCCAATGGTTCCAGGTTCTTGAAGGCAATCAGTGTGACCTCAGTTAAAGTCAGACTTTGGGTGTGAAAATGTTTGAAAATTGTGTCTTGATTACCTTAGATGAAAGGAAGGAGGCACATATTTGATGGCAGCTAAATAAACCATGAATATTCTGAAAATCATTTCTACCTGGGGCTGGAAGAGAAGAGGGATTTTGGAAAATGCCACGCTGAAGAGGAGGACTAGGTTGGCATAAAACAGGGCAGAGAGGGGGTAGAGTGGTGGGAAGCCCAGGGTTGGCGCCTCTCAGTGGGAGAAGTTCAGCATGTGTGCTGAGCTGTTGTTACTATTTGTCAATTCCTTGTCCACCTACTGGTTAAGCTTCTTTCCTGCCTATTGAACTCAGGCAGGCATGTGTCTTGATTTGGTCAGTGAAATCTCAACAGAAGTGACATCCACTTCTGGGCAAACATTTTTAGAGTTAGTGTGTGTTTCCTCATGTGGTTGCTTAGTCAGCCTGAGCCACAGAATGAGATAACAGTAACAGAGAGTAGACCTATAATTGTCATGAAGCATGAAAGAGAAGCAAATCTTGGATGCCATAAAGCACTGCAATCTGAGGTATTGTTTGTTATTGCACCATAGCCTATCCTATCCTGACTAATGTATTGTATTTGGGCTTATTTAGAAAGTAACTCTTTGAAACTGGGGATTTATTGTATCTCAACTTGTCCTCTTTGCCTTTTTGAATTGGTCAGCACAAGGATCTCTGGGATGCTATGGCTGGAAAGAGACAAATGTAGAGTGGTTTGTTTGTCTGAGTTCTTAGAGCTAAAGGAGTCAGGAGTCATGGTGAGAAGGACCATGGGAAATAAATGAAGAATTGAAAAGACTCCTTGTCATTTATGGTTAAGGTAAATGCCAACTTTACAGAAATATATAATTACTAGAGGCCCGACGCGCGAAATTCGTGCGTGGGTGTGGTCCCTAGGCCTGGCCTGCGATCAGGGCCATCTTCCCCAGCTGCCTGCAACCGCCCCCCCCCACTGCCACCCACCCCCAGTTCCCCATTTGCCATCGGGTAATTGGTGCTTGCGAGCTGGGGAAAGGGACCAAGAGGTGGTCTGTGTGCCTCATAGTGACTGGTCCAGCAGTCATTCTGCTGTTAGGGTCAATTTGCATGTTACCCTTTTATTATATAGGATAGAGGCCTGGTGCATGGGTGGCAGCCAGATGGCCTGCCCTGAGGGGGCCCCGGATCAGGGTCGGGGGGAGGGGTCCCTGCTGGGGGGTGGGGCCAGCTGAAAGCAAGGGGCTGTGGGGTTTGCAGGCCAGCCCTGCCCCTGATCAGGGTTGGAGTCCCTGCTGGGGGGCAGAGCCAGGCCTGGGTGAGGGGCCATGGGCAGTTTTCAGGCTGGCCATGGCCCCAGCTTTGTCAGGAAGGTCATCTGGAATGATGTGCGGAAGATATCCAGTCTATCTGGTCTAATTAGCATATTACCCTTTTATTAGCATAGATATTTATTTAATTCCCACAAATGTCACTATTATCACAGATGACATTAATTTTTAAGAGAAAAGGAAGAAAATATGTCACATTTCTATTTTGTGCATATGCTGATTGATTGAAAAGTTTATACCAGATGCCAACATTAAATAAGGGCATAAATATTTAATTGTTTGTATGCATATATACATTTCTGTTTACATGATATGTGTCTATGTAGATACAGAGCACTGCTTCTCAACTGAGGGCCAGTTTGACATCCCAAGGGACATTTGGCAATGTCTGGAGATATTTTTGGTTGTCCAAACTGGGAGATGGAGGGTGCTACTGATATCCAGGGGGTAGAGGCCAAAGATGCTGCTAAACATCCTATAATACACAGGACAGCTCAGTGTGTCAATAGTACTGAGGTTGAGAGATCCTGGCATAGTCATATGTCTGAGACCAGGAGTTTGGGTATGTGTGAGGACATGGTGTACTGGCACCTATCTTCAGATCATCATGGACACACCATTTCACATCATCTTGACTGACTCATCTAGAAGAAACCACAAGTCACAAGCCAGTGAGAGGCTGGCCCCCATGGCCTCATGAGAAGCCTCTGCATTCCTGAGAACACGCAGGAAGTCAGGTGCAGCTGTTCTGCTGGTCTCTCATGATGACAACTGTTGATTACACCTAAGGCGCTGTGTGGAACACCTGGGCTAGAAGCTGCACCCGTGGAAAGGTAAAGGGGCGGTGGAGAAGGGAAACTGGAGAGAGCTGGGCAAGTCATTTTATGGTCTTATAAAGATCTGAGCATTAGCTTATCATGTAAATCATTGCCCCAAAAGGAACTGCTTAGGCATGGTTTGGCTATACATGAAGACATCAAGATACATGATTTTATAGCTACATGTAAAATATTTATATATATAAATTTGTATGCACATTTGTAACGAGATGAAACATTTACTGTCCTAACAGCTCACACCAAAAATCCACATGGCTGGGCACTGACAGAAATTCCTTGATAAGCCACTGGACTGGATAGAGAGACTCTGAAGGCAAAGTTTTCAGCTGGACCCCCGCTGGCGGAAAAGGAAAAATTTTAACTCTTGCTCTGGAGAAGAGAAAGGAGGAAAGAACTGGAAAGAAGACAAAAAATAGAGAAAAAGAAGGGGGAAGACAGGGCGCCAGTAAGAGGGTGAGATGCTGGATGCTGTGTGGCGTGGCAGAGCCCTCCAGAAATGCGTAATGGGGGCTGGAGTCAAAGGCACTTTTGGAATCAGAGTCTGCCTCTGTACAACTTTGCCACTTTTCTAAGTTAAAAAAAGGGTGACTCTGGATGTTTGTCATGCAGTGTGCTCAGAACCATAATAGGCATCTCTCAGTCACAGATGCATCCACAGCAGCTGGAGCAGAGGGGCCACGGGAGGGAGGGCAGCAGACAGAGGCGGTGCTGGGACTTAAGCCCTGACTCTGGAACTCAGTGAGGTCTTGGTGGAGACCTTTGACACCCATAAGTCAAGGATTAGTGGTTGCAGCCACGCAGGTCAAGATTTTAAGGGGCTGGGGAGCTCCAGCTGACAACCGGAACACCACACACACTCCACCAAATGATTGGATCAGTGCCAACTCATGTCCCAATCTTAGTGCCAGAGAGACTGGAAAAGGACTTAGATGAAATGATATAAAGAACCTGAGATAGACAGAATTTCAGTGAGTGGAGATTCCAAATGCAATTGTAGCAATGAGACAAAAAATTTGCAGGAGGCAAGTTCCGGAGTTTCATCACATATTTATAATTTCTGTCTGCAATTTGAGAGTCTAGGATGGGCAAAGGGAGGCGTGACTTAGTCACAGCTGCTCTGGGCTGCCTAATTGTCCGGAGGGGGCTCAAGGGATTGTCAAGGAGTCACCTGAGCCTGGCTCGGCGGTGTGAACAGTCAGGTGAAGGCCCTGCCGGGTTGGTCTGTGCTGAGCACTAGATCCTTCACTCTAATAATTAGGTCAAGTTTCCTAGTTTCTCTTCACTTGCCTCTGCAGGGCCTTTTAACTTGGGGCTCAAGTTGGGCATCATCTGCTGGCCCTCAGCATCCATTTTCACCTCCTTTGGGTGCCTTCCTGAACTCCAAAGGTTGAAAAGATAAAAACGGTATTTCTCAGACTCCCTTGCAACTAGAGTCTGATAGTGAGTTTAGTTCTGCCAATTAGATGCCATCAAGCTGAGTTTCGGAAGCAGAAGTGAGGCGAAGGCCACTTTCCTACTGCTTTTAGCTGATTTCCGTGGGTAAACAAGGCTGGGGAGGTGGGGGCCCTGGACCCCAGTGTTTCAGTGTCTAAACTCCCACCTTGTTGGGGCTGAGAAAAGCAGTGGTGATGGCTTTGTGGCCATCACCACTGGTCCTGGACTTCGGGGTGGGGCTGTGTTCTTGAACACATTGAGTGCCTGACTCCCCACTTTCCTGGCTGGTCAGAGGCAGCAGCTGCTTGGGTGGTCACTTCTGTGGTGCCGGGGAGATGTCGCTGCAGGCCCAGCAGGAGCCGCTCCTCCAGCCCTCCCTATTGACTTTTAATCTCAGTATTACTCTCTTTCTGTTTCTAATAGCAACACTGGTTTCTGTTTCTTGCTGACTGACACAGGACTTTCCAAAGATACCAAAGGGCTTGTTGAACATGACTGAGCCATAAGTTGGATTTAGAAAGTCACAAAGGAGGAAGAGTGGGCTCCAGTCTCGGTCTGTACTTCTTCCTCTCTCAGATTCTCATGGACAAGGGGGCTGTCTCTTCTGCTCTGGGCCCCACCCTGTCACTGTCTCCCAGGCTGGCCTGACACAGGGCAAGGTACAAAAAGGCACCTAGGTGCAAAATTCAAAGAAGATTTTCTCTCTTTAGAAGCGTAGAGCAGCCCCTGATAGGGAGTACCCCCTTAAATGTGGCACCCTAGGTGCCTCACTTGTTTCATACTCATCCTGGTTCTGCTCACAGCTCTGACCTTGGAATCTGGTTGACTTCAATACTAAGTTCAGAGAATTCTTAGCCTCTGCACAAGCTCTGGCTCAAAGAACAGTCTCTGTGCCGTGGCATCTTTATCCTGACCTGCTATATGATGGAGGACATTTGGCCCCAAACTTAAAATGGGTCCCCTTAGCCATGCACCATGATATTTCCAGACACCCCAGGGAAATGGCAGCTTGGGGTGTTACTCTGTAAGCGCTCCAGGCCCAGTACCCGGTTATTAAGCTGGATGAAGAGAAGCATAATGTCCAAAGCAGGGGAGGGGAGAGTTCTGCTCTACTCCAGCTGGCCACAGCCTGGAGAGAATACATGTCTGCAGGGGCTGGGGTTACAGAAGGGAGAGCCACTGGCAACGGCTGATTAACATAGATCTGTAGAAAAGATGCTCAGCTTGAATAGAAAACAGGGTTGGTCAATTAAAGCAGGAGAGTGGAAGTTGCTTTCCCACCTATCGGATTGTCAGAAATTAAAACCATGTATCATTCTAGTAGCTGGAACAGAGCTCAGTGCTCTCTCTTCTCCCAGCACCACTGATGCCATTGGCGATGGGAACAGTGCCCAGAGCATTGCCAGTGCTTTCTAGGAGGGGAATGAAAATGATTTTTCTCTTTTGGTTCATAATGGAGCTGGTATGAAGCAGATAGCAGAGCCAGGGCTCCCCTTCCATCCTGTTTACAGCCACCTCTCTGCCTCTAAGGTTCACTGGGAGGTTGAGGGAGGTTGCTGAGCCAGGCCTGCCAGAGGCGAGGAGAGCTGGGTTGTCTTTGCTCAGAGACATCAGCCCAGAGCTGTTCAAATGGGCACACTGTTCCCATTGCGCAGGCTCTAAAGAGATCCCACACTTGGCTCCCTGAAAGCCTTGGGGACTCCTGGAAACACACTTCAGAGGAAGCCAGTCTGAAGTAGCTGCTGCCATTGGTAGTGCGCTTGCCGTACCTGGTATTACCTGATAGAAGTGGTTGCCCTGGGCACTAGCTGGGGCCTTATCTCATTCACGTCTGTGACAGCCTCATGTCAGTACACGCTGTTTCAGGTTCTGGATCCCTTACCCCCAATTCCAAAAATCCAAACAACCGAAGTTCTTATCACTCACCTGGAGGCAAGCGCTGGACTAAAGTGAGATGAGGTTATTTATGGTCTTAATTATCCCATTTACTGTAAATATTTATGTTTCTCTACAGAAATATTAATGTGTTTGATTACAGGGTGTTCCCCACACCTATTTTACATAATATACAGTTATGCACCATACAATTCGTGTAAAATACAGCGTTTCTGAATGTTGAAACATTTGGCCCCATGATAAACTACAGTGGGCCTACAGTATTTTCATTTTGTATATAAGGAAAACTGAGGTTCTGTTTGCTGTGTGTTATTTTGCCAGATACCACAAAGCTCCCGGGCAAGGGGCAGACTTGAACTTGACCTGCACTCTCAAGCCCAGGAGCAGCCCCACGCCCTCAGCCCGTGGGGATTCAGAGGTGAGAGGGGCTGCCTTTTCTAATGACCCTGTGACAGCCTTCACTTGCCCTTGTTCTGAGAATTCGAGCAATACTGAGACTCTGGAACGCCTCCACAGCCACAGGTCCCTGCCTGGCTTTGGCTCTCCAAAGAAGACCTTTGTAGAACCCTTTTAGTTATTTTTACAATAAACTTCAAAAAGCTCTCTATGTTTTGGGTATTTTTTTGTGTCTGGACATAGTGGCAAGAGGAGATTTAGCCACAGAAAGCCTGGAGTGTAAGGCAGCCTTTTGTACTGCAAATGTGTCCATGTGACTGAAATAGAATAAACTCTTGGGCGTTTCTCCTCATTGTTCCCCTCTGCGTCATCCCTCCCTCACTCCAAACCCCTGCTCATCCTGTGCCCCTGCCAGCACTTCCCTCTGTTCCTATTCACAGTCAGCAATGAATTCATTCAACAAACATTTATTAAGTCCCTGTCGCTGCTGGCAGTGTGGTATGAGCGGTGTTATGGTTTATTAGAAGCACACTGGTCTGAGAAACAAAAGATTGTGATCCTGGTTTGCAAGGATTTGGATGAAACCCTTCCCTGATCTGGACTTCAGTGTAACCATGAGAGGATTAGGGAAATATGTGAGTCGATGCAAAAACCAACCAATCAACCAAGCAAACAAACAAACCCTCAGTCATAAGGTACAGAAACCTCACCAATAGGATTAAATAATAAAGGAGGATAGGCCTTGGCACAGTCTGACTAGGGCTCCTGCTGCAGTTTCCCTCTGAGTGTCCTCATCTTCAGGGTGGCTTGCCTCATGACCACAGAAGGGCTGCCAGCAGCGACTGCAACCACACGTTTCTCAGTGAGGGAGAGAGAGGCAGGGCCATTTCCAGCCTTAAGCACAGTTACCAAACTGATTGTTTAGAGCCAGGTTTGTTCTGATTGAGTCTACATTGGTTCCGGTGGGTCAGAGCCTGACCTGGAGAAGTTTTTAAATATTTTGATCATCACTCCTGGAAAGAGAGTGTCACTTCTAATAGTCATCCAACAAAAGTGTGGGATTTCCAGCTGATTGCCTTAAGTTACCTGAACCAATCACATGATAGGGGTTTTAGGATCACCCTAATTAGGATGGTCAGGACCACCCCTAGAGCTTGGGCTAAGGTCAGTTCTGCTCACACGCATGCACGGGGGCGGAAATGATGAGGTTCTGGGGTTGCATGCAGGGGTGTAACCAAAAGTTAGATCTGCCAGCTCTAAGGTCTCTTCCTACTAAGACTTTCTCTGCTTCCAGGCTTTTGCTCCGTGCACATGACTTTGCAAGGATTAAAGTTGCCTCGGATTTTGCCTTTAGTTTATTCTAATCACACTGTCAGGGCTACTGCCATTATTTGGGGATTCTATTGTCAATATCAATTTCTAATCTTCTAGTGATATCCCTCTGAATCTGTAGCTCAGGAGAAGGGTACGCTCAGATATGGGCACTGCTGGTCTGTGGTGTTGGCCTGTGCTGAGCAGGGACAGGATCACTCAGGCAAAATCTGTATATCTTCAGGCCTTCTCCACCACCTGGCACCAGATGGCACTGAATATGAGAATGCTAATCCATTCTTCAAATATATGTGTAATGGTGGCTTGTTGTAAAAATCTCAGAGGGTATGTGAAAAATATTCTTTCCCATCTAATCTTCCAATTGCTAATCCCCAGAGTGAATCACAGTCATTCACTTCTAGTTATGTGCTATTCGTATCTCAAAATGTATAAATAGCATTTATATATATGTGTGTGTACCAGTATATATAGGGTGTCCCAAAACATGTATACAAATGCTATGAATAATTATAAAGGTAGTGTTTATAAAAGTTTATTTCATTCTCAAAATTGAGCTATCAGCTGTTAAAGTGTGTATACATTTTTTTGGTACACTCTGCATAACAAAATCTTTTATAATATACAGGGTGGGGCAAAAGTAGGGTTACAGTTGTTCATATGAAAAATAGTACAATTAATAAATAATGATACAAGAATATACTCTGTGTTTCACGTCCTCACAACTGTAACCCTACTTTTGCCCCACCCTGTATATTATGCAGGGATTATAGTATAAACAAATGTTTGTTGAATGAATAAACGAATACACAGAGTGCTCAAACTGTAGGAGGCTCAAAGGGATGGAGGTTACTTTTATCGATGCTGTCTACCACAGTCCATCAGAAAACAGAGCCTGCACAAGTTATTTCAACAGAGAGATTTTAATATAGAGAATTGATTAAACAAGTTGAAGGACTGGTAAGGCAGAAAGTGGTATGGAGGACACACAGAGGTAGTAACTGCAAAACAATAGCTACCACCCTCAGGGTGAAGGGTGGGGGGTGAAGGGGACACAAAGAAAGAGATGGGTTGTTAGAACCCAGAAGTTTAGAGAAGAAACTGCAGAGCTGGAACCGAAAGCTTGGCGGAGGGGGCGCTGGCTGACCGGCACTGATGTCGCTGAGGGGAAGTTGCTGTGGCTGGTTCTGAGAGTGTGACAGTGGGTGAACTGGAACCAACTGTGGCTGCTGGGAAAAATGCATGGCTGGGGTTGCTGCCAGGAACAGGAAACAAATGGGCTAGATCAAGTCCCTTGCTCCTCCATCTGCCTCCCATTGTCCTCCCAGTGACAAGGGGAGGAGGGAGACCAGAGAAGGAGGGGGAATAATGTGGTGTGCAGAGTTCCTTCCCCACATCACCAAGTAAGGAATGGAAGGGTGGGTTTGGCACCGAGAGACAAGTGTGTAACCACCAGGACACCTTGTTTCTGTTTATTTGCAGCCTTTGTGCAAATTAGAAAGAAACACCCGCTCTGGGCAGAATTGGCCCTGTGTCGGTGTGCGTGGTCTGGTGAGCAGAATTACGAAAAGATCCCTCAAGGAAGATGCACACTATATCAGGGTGTACAGCTGGGCAGAAAAAGATGGGCTGGGTTTTGGTGCTCAATGGTTGTTTTCTTATTTCCCTCCCTCCATGAAGGCCAGGGGTTTAGGACGGTTCATCAAGAGGCCTCTGTGATCCCTGGGGTCTCATAGCTCACTGGGTTCCTGCCTCTTCTCAACAGGGGACCCAGGGCCTAAATTAGCACATGTGCTTCTGAAAAAAGCATAGAAAATATGATCATTTTTCTCAGTAAACCTAGGCGAGGAAGTGCTTTCTGGGAAACTGATGGTGATGGTGATCCAAGATGGGGGCTTGGGAGTCTGCAGATCTTCAACATTAGAGAAGTCTGAGCGACTATTGCAGAATTCTTCACAGTAGAGTTTGCAAATTGGATGTGATCCAAGAAATAATTTAGTAATAATGATAATGATGACAATAATAATTGACTTAGATTAGGTTTTCTGGAGCCAGACTCTGAGGCAGGTTGTGTGAGAAGCTGGGGATTAAGTGTTCATGGGCGACACATACAAAGAGGTGAGGAGGCCGACGGGGCAGAGGGAGAAGCTGAGCCATGATGCAGTTGAGACTAAGGCCTCAACTGTCCTGCAGGGGAGGTCTGGTGCTGGGATGGCCCTTCTGAATGGTCTCCAATTAAGGCATGATGGCTGGGCCTTGTATCTACATGTCATCCAGTCATTGGCCATGGCCCGCTTGGGAAGAGATGAAACTTTGGGAGGGCGTTTGCTATGATCTAAGGCAGGTTCTGATGGGATAAGCTCTGAGCTTCCTGTCAGCTATAGTAGTGATGAGGTGATTATGGGTACCACCTACTGATTGTCTACACCAGCAATTTTCAAATGGTGTGCTGCAAGAATTTTTAAAATATGCAATACCTGACTATTTAGTCAGAAGCACTGACCTCTTTTCCATTTGATTGTCAAATAAAAAAATGACAACAGCCCACACAATAGCCATCTGATGTGAATAAATAAAAATTATACCTACTTTTTTTTGCCAGATCGACAAATAATATGTTTTTTGATGTGCCGCAGAATTTTAAATAGTTTATGTGTGTCACAAGATGCAAAAGGTTGAAAAATGCTGGTCTACACCAAGCTAAAAGCTTTGCCTATAAATCTCCCAAGTCTTCCTCATTCCTGTAAGTAACACTGACATCCAACCCCATTGCTCAAGACAAAAATCACACACATCATCCTTGATTCTTCCCTTTTCTCCCCTCCCCACACCGCAATCCATTAGTGGAATTTATTGGCTATACTTTCTACATATATCCTGAATCTGTCCACTTCCCTCTATTCCCGTCACTCTGACCCAAGCCACCAAATCTTCCATAGTCAACAGCTTCCTAGTAGGTCGTTCTGTTTCCATCCTGGTTTCCCTGCCATCTATTCTCCATACTACAGCAGAATGACCTCAATATAATGCTCTTCTAAGTAAAGCCCTTTAATTGCTTCTTGTAGAACTTAAAATCTAAACTACTTACCGTGGGATGCAAGGCCCCACACAACCAGTCTGTCTCCTCCTCAACCTCTGTTTTCCCTGACCTACCATATTCTAGCCAAACTGGCTTTCTCTTGATTCCTTGAACATGTCAAGCTCATTCTTGCCCCAGAGCCTTTGCAGTAGCTGTTCCTTCAGCCTGGAATGACCATCCCCAGAACCTGCTATGGCATGGTCTTCTCATTCAAGCCTCAACTCAAATGTCACCTCCTTAGTTAGGCTTCCCATGACAT